GAACGGCGCAAGCAGCGACAGGCTGGCCGCGGCTGCCGCCTATCAGCGGCAGCTGGACGAGCGGCTGGGGCGCCGCCCCGAGGACGGGCCGGCCGCAATGGCCGAGCGCGACGCGGCGGCGGCCGAGGCGGAGGCGGCGGCGGCTCTGGAGGCGGAGGCGGCGGAGGCGGCGGGAGAGCAGGCTCTGGGTGGCGGGCGGCGGTCCGTGGGGTGGGCGGACCCGCTGGCCGAGGAGTACAGCGATGAGTAACCCTTGCCCTTGACTGATGCAGCCGTGGCGGTGGTGTCAGGCTGGCGGCGGCGAATCCAGTGGGCAAAGGTACAACAGGGCATGCTGCTGTTCGGCGTCATGTGGCTGAGGTGATAGCCAGAAAGCGCCCGCTCAGGGCGACAAGCAGCGGCAGGGGTGTGACTCACAAGTGGGCCTGGGTCGCTGGCAGCCGCAGTGGCAGCGACTAGCGCATTGTGAGGAGAGTACGGTGGATTGATTGAGGTGTTACATGTGTGAACTACCTGTGGATCACGCTTGGAAACATGTGTGGGGCATCCCAAAACCGCCCCAAAGGCATATAAGTGAAGAAAAACGTGGCAGAAAAACAGCAAACGTCAATGGGGGCGATCTGCCCGAAAGACGGCCGCAGGCGCGGCCGCCACCCTCCGCCTGCGCAGGCGCGGCCGCCGCCCTCCGCCTGCCACAGGGGCAGCAGCTTGCAGCATGCGAGCGGCGTCCCTGCGGCCGGCGCGGCGCACGGCCGCTCGGTCCAAGACAGGCTGACGCCCATAACAACACAGTAAAGCACCGGCTGCAGGCGGCCCCGCGGCCCTGGAGCAGCCTGTTACTCCTGCATGTCGTCCACGCCACCCCCGCCGCCACCACCTCCGCCGCCGCCACCGCCCTGGTAGCCGCCGCGGGCCCTGCAAGCGACGATGCGGCGCAGGATCGGCGGGTGCGTGTGACGCGTCGAGGCATTGATTTGAGTGGACGCAATCAATCGAGTCATCGCATGGCTTTTGAGTCAACGTGCTGCTTGAAACGGGGAACCTGCAACCCGATGCGCATTAAACATTTTCAATAATATTCACAAAAAAATCTTAATAATGGTTTGGTGTTTTCCACTGCAAGCAGCCTCACACCCTCACCTGTCCCCGCCGCGGGCACCGCCATAGCCGCGGCCCCCACCGCGACGACCGCCGCCGCCGCCGTAACCGCCGCCGCCATATTGGCCCGCGCCGCCGCCGCCACCGCCATACTGACCGCCGCCGCCGCCGCCGCCGCCGCCAAATTGACCCCCGCCGAAGCCCTCGCCGCCGCCGTTGTGGGGTGCGAGGAACTGCCCGCCCCCGATGCCGCCGTTGGTCGCCACGACCACGCTGCGCGGCAGGGCGACGCCGGCCGAATCAGACCAGCATCAGTCAGCGCCGCACCCACCGCCGCGCCGGCCCCGGCCCGCCGCGACGCCACCACGCCCTGGGCTCGCCTCGCGCCCGTCTCACCCCGGCAAGCATCACACTACTCTGGATCCCCCCCCAAAGGGCCCCCGCTCACTTGATGCCGCTGGACAGCTTGGCGATGGTCCCCGGCGGCAGCTCCGTCTCCACTAGCTCGCAGTTGAGCTTCCTGTTGTCCAGGGCCACGTTGTTGTAGGCCTGGTACGCCTTGAGGGCCGCCTCCGCGCTCTCATACACCACGTGCGCCGTGCCGAGCGACCGGCCGCTGCGGGGGCGGCGCGGGGGAGTGGCGAGGGGGAGGGCGGGCGGGGGATTGGGGCGCGGGCGGGGGCAGCGCAGGGCCGCTGGTCGCAGTGGGAGATGCGTGCGAAGCGGCAGCCACCGGCGCGCCAACCAGATGTGGACTGTACTTCACCCTGTGATACACACAACAGCGCAGCGCATGCGCACACACACACACACACACACACACACACACACACACACACACACACACACTCACACACACACACACACACGTCCACGCACGCGCGCGCCCCACCTCTTGTCGTAGTGCACCCCCGACTCCTTGATATTCCCGATGACCTTGAACAATTCCTGCACCCAGTGGGAGACATAGGCTCAAGTCAGCGGCGGACGCAGGCGGGTGACCGTCAGGCCCGGGGGAATCCGAGCCCAGCTGCATTGGACGCATGCAGGCAGACGGCGAGCACGGGCGCCGGCACGGGCACCGGAACAAGTGCGGCGGTGGCAGGCAGCTGCCGTGCAGCTTCACTCACAAAGACGTCTTTGTCGTCGACGCTGGGGTCCAAGTTGGAGACAAAGCTGCGGGGTGATAAGATGCAAGCGTCCGATGTGAGGCGTCGCGCTGCGGAGAGAAAGACGTGAGGCTGTCCAAATAAGAAGACAAGGGGCGGGCCCGGGGCAGCGGGCGCGCCCCATCCGCGCCCCGTCAGCCGCGCTGCTGCCGCAGTGTCGTCGGGGCGCTGGCTGCAGCTCGCGTCGCGCGCGAGGCTCTCACATCTTGTTTTTGATCACTTTGCGGGCTGGGACGCTCGGCACAGGGGCCGGCACGGCGCCGAACCCGCCGCCGCCGCCCTGCGCAAAGCCGCCGCCGCCCTGCGGCCCAGGGCCGGCCTGGCCCCACTGGCCGGGGTGCGCGGCCTGCGCCGGCGGGGGCGGCTGCGTGCGGCGCCCCGGCGGGCCGTAGCCGCCGGCTGGCGGCGGCGCGTGGCGGGTGTTCACCACGTTGGGGTTTCTCACGGTGATCACGCCGCCTGGGCCGCGGCCGCCCCCGCCGCCGCGTCCGCGGCCGCCCGCGCCCGCGCCCGCAACAAAGCCACCGCCACGCCCGCCGCCGCCGCGCCCGCCACTTGTAAGAGGGCTCTGGGAAGGGAGATGAAGCCATGGAGGTCAAGAGAATTTGTGCGGGTGTTGCAGAGCACAGATTTGCAATCCAAACGCCCCATAAATGCGTCTGTCCGCACCGCCATCCGCCGGAACTCACGCGCTGCTGTGCGGGCCGCGCCGCGGTCTTGGCGACGCCGCCACCTCCACGGCCCTTGGCCACCCCCAGCTGCTGCTGTCCGCGGCCTCCTGGCTTTGCTCCCCTTCCGGACCCTCTGCCCCGTGTGGCAGCCTGCGGAGGCTTAGATTTCTTCGCCTGCTGCTTGATGAGCTCGTCGAGCGACAGGTCTAGGCCCGACATGGCTCTAGTCTGTGAACTTGTACCGACCCGCTGGGAGGCCCAGCTCTGCGGGGGTGTGATCTAGAAGCTTTCGCTGTGGTGCACCACCACCGCTGCTTCGTTGCAATCAGAAATCCCACATCTATTATTGCATGATTGATACCATAGCAGTAAGCAGTATGCCCCCTGTCCTGCACAATATCAGTAGCAAAGCGGTGGCAGAGCAGCTGCAAAGCGGGGCTCGAGCCGTGGGGAGGCAAAGCGTCCGTGGCAGTGGGCTGGGCCACCTACCAGTTCAGTGGATCTGCAAGCGCCCTCATCACCCCATAGTGGATTGTTTGCGCACACGTCCCTTCAGGTGCCTTTCGGTCCCTAAGCCTGAAAGTCCGGGCCTCCTTCCCCGCAGCAGTCTGGTGCCACGGTCCACACATGGCTACGCTTAGTGCATGCATGCGTGCGTCCGTGCGTGCGTGCGTGCGTGCGTGCGTGCGTGCGTGCGTGCGTGCGTGCGTGCGTGCGTGCGTGCGTGTGTGTGTGTGTGTGTGTGTGTGTGTGTGTGTGTGTGTGTACGTACAGCACACATGAAAAAGGCCAGGGCACGCAGCCAACGCACTTCGTCATGGCTATCAAGCCTGAAACGTAGTAAAGCGGACGACATCCTTGCGTGAGGCCGGTTATGTGATCACATTCAGGGCTAAACTGGGCGTGTAAAGCAGGCGTGTCGGCTGACAGCAAGCGTGCCCTCCTCACAACGGCGGACTCCTTACACACTCCAGCAGTCATGCATGTAGTCGCTCGCAGCTGAAGAAGCTTTCTGTAGTCACTGGCAGGGAGTGCTGCTGAGCCCGTGGGGCCCGCAAGCACTACTTGCGTCAGCGAGAATCACGGTAGTGCCTGGTCTTATTGGTGATTTGCAAACGCACAAATCGACCTGTCGCAAGAAAACTGTTGTAGAACAAGACGACTGCAACAACCCTTTTGAGGTGACAACCAAGATTTTGCCAAGCTGCACGCCAAGCTGCACCTTGCTGCGTGCTCTTACCTGAACCTGGACTGCATCAGGCCGTGCTCACGCTGCCCACCACGCCCACCACCACCTGGCATGCACCTACCCCCCATAACTCCTTTCATGGTGAAAAATAAGTGTCCTATGGCACCACGGGGCATTGAAAGCTCATCAATGTCTTCATTGCATGTGGCTTTATGCGCAGTTTTGACCTGTGCAGACCGGAGCTTGTGCCGGCGCAAGATAACTAGAGCCACACAGGCACGGGCGCCAGGCTGCCGATGATTCACAACACCAGTATCGTTGCTCAATTTCGCAATTGCTGCCAGGGCTGCAGAAGGCGTTCCAGAACAATCCCTCCCAGATCCTTGACGCTATCTGCGTTTCATCACGTTTCGTTCGACGTGAAAGTCGATTATTCAAACAACACGTATTGCGGCAACGACCTCGGACAAGCGTAGACGGGACGAGCTTGATGCGCAGCGACGATTTCGCATGAGGTGCACAGTGCAAAGGATACTAGGGGAGACCATGAATTTGATGCAATGTTGCCTGATTCTCATTGTCGGGCGACTATAGCCGCATGGCGCACCCTCCCTCGGTGTGTCCACTGACTGGACGCACTGCGCCCGTCATCGCTCACAGGGACCACTCTGTAGCCTCTGCCCAGGCGGTGGTAGTGGCGGCAGCAGATTGCAAACTGCCATCTCTAACAGATCCAGCAGCCGACCGGAAGGCGTCGCTGGACTGCGGCAGCAGCGGCCGCGGCGACGCAGCGCCCAACGAGGCGGCGCTGGGCAGATCCCTTCCGCAACCGCAGTCCCCGCTGCTGACGCACGCGCTCCCACAGCTAAGCTGCATGGGGCGGCCGGATAGTGACGGCTGCGGCGACGGTGGCGGCGGCGCGCATGGCGCGGAACCGGGACGGCAGGATCAGCCGCTGCAGGCGCCTGCACAGCAGCCAGAGCCGGGGCACCCTTTTGAGCTGCTGGACCGCTACCTGCAGGGCCGCCAAGACCTGCAGGTGCCGCCCACAACCTACATGCAGCCGCGCTGCGCCTGCATGCCCCCTCGCATGCGCACTCGGTCCGCCCACGGCACTGCCAAGCGGCCGGCGCAACCGCCCCGCCCCTCGCAACTTCAGAGCGAATCGCCGGGCCGCGCGTGGCGGCAGCTGCGCCCCTCTCGGATGCTCGTCCGCCTGGCAAGCGCCTCATGCGGCCGCATGTGCACCCATGCAGGGAAAGCTTGTGCCGCTGGTTCAGGAGAACGTGGCAGGCCTGATGGTGGGGAAGGCAGAGGTCCTGCAGTTTTTGATGGCACAGCGGCTGCTAGAGGAGAGGGCCGGCCTGCCCGCAGGCGCACTCCTGCGCGGCGCGTTTGTGATCGTGCCCCCGCCGGGCGTTGCCGGCGCGGCAAGCGTTACTGCGCCGCCGCCCTCGCCTCGGCTGCGGCAAGTCGCGTCGGTGCGCCTCGCGCCAAGGCGGCAGCCGCTGCACGAGGGGCGGCAGCATCAGGAGGGGGACGGTGAGGCCGTGTGGGATGTGGACGAGCACGACGCCGAGCTCGCGATGACAGATGGCACTGTGCTGCAAGCAGGAGAGCTGAGTAACGACCCGGTGCCGCAGGTACGCGGGCCGCACGCATGGGCTGGTAGCATCCTGACAATTTCGTCCTTTGGTGATGCGGAGTGCGCTCCAGGGGCGTGCGAGGCCTGCGCGGGGCCCCTGGCGCTTGCATGCGTCTGGGGCTTGGCTGGCGGAGCGCAGCCCTGGCGGGCGCTCTGATCTGGGCAGTTGCGTGTGCCCGCGCTGCATGCGATTCCTAGGGCTGATGCCTGATTCTCCTGGGGCCTCTTCTTGGCTGGTCCCCCTGTCGGTCGCCAGAAGGTGCGCGTGCACACTCCCACTTGCATCCGCAGTCTGCGTGCTTGGAGCTGTCTTTCCTGGCGCTGCGCGGGCAGCTGCCGCGTCCAACGGCTGCCGCGACGCTGGGCACGCTGTGGCGGCTGTCCTGCTGCCACTGCCTCACCCAGCCGAGGCAGGCGGCCCACGCGCGCCAGGTGGAGCGGCACCAACGGACTCTCGAGGCGTCGGTGGCCGCCGCATGTCCTGGGGACGCGCAGCTGCTCGCGGCGCTGCGCGCCCACCACCGCGCGGCCGTGCTCGCGGAGCTGCGGCCGCTGCCGGACGAAGCGTGGCTGCGGCAGATGCTGCCAAACCTGCGCGTGGTGACCGAGGCCGGCGGTGGATTTGAGGAGGCCGTGCAGGCCGACGCGGCAGCATGGGAGGCGCGGCAGCAGGGTGGCACCCCGCAGCAGCCGCGGGACCCGTCAGCAGCGCAGCAGCTGCAGGAGGTCGAGGGACCAGGCTCGTCGCGGCGGCAGCCAGCCGATCAGCAACAGCAGCCATGTGGGGAGGCCAGCACCCTGCCGCGTGCTCCTGCCGGTGCCATTGATGAGGCCGCCCCCGCGGCCGTCGCTGGAAAGGTCAGCAACTGCCCTGCTGCTTTGGAGGGACTGCACTCAAGCAAACACCAGCGGCTGGGCGGCAAGGACAATTCGGGCAACAACGGGGCGCTGGCGGCGCAGAAGGAGCGGCGCATGGGTGATGCGGGGCTGGCTGCGCCCCAGGACTGTGGGATACCTGCGGCGATGGAGGTGGATGGGGCCTCGGCGGCTGGAGAAGGTAAGGCGCTGGACGAGGGCGGGGCCGCTCAACCTGCCAGGGCTGTCCATCAGGGGCGGCTTTTGGAGTCTTCAGAGATCTGCACATCGCCATCGATGCCAGGCCGTGCTGTGTGCGGTGGTGCAGCGGCCCCTGCACCGGAGGAGCGTGTGGGGGCGCAGGCGGTGGCCCCGCATGCGGTGGTGGTGGTGGATAAGGTACTTCGGGTGGGTCCAAGTGGGGCCAGCAACGGAGGTGGGGCTGCTGAGCCACAGACACGAGACAACACGGCTGCTCTGGGCGGGAACACAGCAACGGCTGTCTGCAAAGCGGCACCCTCTGAAGTGTGCGAGGGCGCCGACAGCCCGGACAGCTTTATACCCCTGCTGGATGCATCCAAGTTGGCAAAAGCGGACGGCTTGGTGGATGCCTGCGGTATTGGTGCGCAGCATGAGCGGGGAGGCGGCGGCACAAGCGGGAGACGCCGCAGCCGCAGTCGCGAGGCGAGGCGCAGCATCCGTGATGGCCGGCCGGACGCAGGGGGTGCGGCGCCGCACTCGGGCGAGTGGGGCGGTGCGCGTGACGTCGAGCGGCGCAAGGACGGAGCGATCTGTGGTGCTGCACTGCAGGCAGAGCAGGGAGACGAGGGGCGCGCCCATGAGCGGCAGCGGCTTGAGCGTCGGGAGCAGGACAGCAGCCGGAACGAGCAGCGACAGCAGACGGAAGACGGGCGATCCAACGGCGCCCATCCGCGGCCAGAGCAAGATGAGCGGCGTGAAGGCCGCCGGGCGCGTGAGCAGCACACGCGTGTGCGGTCGCCGCGGCGCAGCAGTGAGGACGGCCGCGAGGCGAAGCGGCCGCGGCAGGCGCCTAGTATCCAGGAGCCTGGCCATGATCCGAGGAGCGGCCGTGAGGAGCATCAGCAGGGACGACGGCAGCACGCGAGCGAGGCGCCACGGCGGCCAGCGCAGCCACCACAGCAGCCGGAGAAGCGGGCATCGCCGCCATCACCGCAGCAGCAGCAGCAGTCAAGGAAGCAGGGCGCGCCGCCCGCTCCAGGCGTTCCCGCCCCTACTGCCGCGCCGCTGCGGGCCGCGCCCCTGCCCCAGCGAACGCCTCTGGCCCCAGCTGCTGCTGAGCAGCTGCGTGCGCCGCCGCCGCCGCCGCCCCCACTGTCGCCGCCGCCGCCGCCGCCACCGCCCCCGCCGGCTGCAGAGCAGTCGCCGCCATTTGATCCTGTGGCTCCCTACGATCCCGCCGGCGGTTACGACCCCTCCGGCTGTTACGACCCCGCTGGCCTCGAAGCGCACCAGTACAAAGGGACAACCGGTGATGGCGACGACGACGAGGACGGGCAACTGCAGGCGCTGCTGGGGCGCTACGACCCCGCCGCTGACGGCGCGGCTGGCGCGCAGGCCGGCGGCTTGGCCGGAGTCGCCGGCAGCGTGGGCGCGGAGGGGTACGAGTACTGGGTTGCGCGCGGCCACGCCACGGCGCTCACGTATGACGTGAGCCGAGGCCAACCCGCCGGCGGTCGTGGGGCCAAGGCTGGCGGCCGGGGCGGGGGCGCGGCGTCTCTGGCGGCGCAGCCGACCGGCCATTGGGGTCGCGGCCCTGCGCACCAAGACCAGGCGGCGCAGCTGCCACCGCCTCCTGCAGTCGTCAGCGGGCCGGACGGCCACCACAAGCATCAACATCGGATCCAAGGGCACTGCGCTGGCGAGCGGGCATTGGGCGGGGAGAGCGGCCGGGCTGGGCCGGCAGCAGCCCCCACCTGGCAGGTGCCGCCGCGGCCGTGGCTGGCAGAGCCAAGCGGGCCGCCCTTGGGCGCAGCGGACGCCGTCCACCACGGGCGCAGCCCTGCGCGGCGGCCGAGCAGCACGGATGCGCGCGGCAGCCGCAGTCCGTATGGCGGTCCCACCCTGGGGCCCAAGCTACCCAGCCCAGCATCGCCGCCGCAGCGCCGCGCCTCGCGCGACGGCGGCGGCGCACATGAAGGCGGGCCGCGCAGCACGAGCGCGCCGCGCGGCGAGCGGCTGCGGCCTCACGAGGAGAGGCGCGGGCGCGACGCGGAGCGAGCCTTGCACGGCGGCGGGGGCACGGGCGGCGGCGGGCAGCCCGGCGACCGCGGGGCGCCGCCCTGGGAAAGGGACGCGCGCCGCAGCGCGCCGCATACGGATGGCGGACGGCCGCGCACACCGCCGCCGCCTTGGGAGGTCCCTTCGCGTGGCGGCCGCGGCGGCGGGAGGGACGGCCGCAGGTCTTAGGCGTCCAATCGTGCAGGCGCCACTGCGGTTGTGCACGTTTGTTTTGGCAGGAGGGCAGGGCTGCTGTTGCGCCAGCAGCAGTCAAGCAATGGGGCCATTTGCTGTGCGGATGTGCAGCAGTTGTGGCCTACTGGGGCCACACATGCTGCCCCACCTGGCAATATCGCCCAGCCGCAGTTAAATTGTCGCCTGACACTTTACCCTGCCGGTGCGTGCATGTAATTTGTATGAGGAAATTTGTTAATCACCTCTTACACCCCAGCCATCTGCACGGTGAAGAGTGCAAAGAGGCGGGCGGGCGGGTCGGCGGTGGGGTGTCTGTTTTGGGGGGCAGTGGTGGTTTTCAGGTGAGATCTCAGCCAGCTTCTTGTGATTGGGGTGTGCCGACCTGCACGCTCAAATGCCGAGCGAGCGCGACTTGGCGTCGAAAGGGGCAAGGGTGACGGCTGGAGACCGCCCTCAACACGCAGTTGGGCAACGGGCAGCCTGCATGTTTCATCACAAGCACTGCACGTGTGACACAATACATACGTGGAATCGTTTTTGTGTCGGGCCGCACATGCATACGTGAGCCAATCAGCATCTCCACTGGCATGCAAAGACCGGTCTTCTCATGTGCTGAGCTGGTGCAGTTGCTTCCATAGATTCAAGGCCTGCGATAGAGCCAGGGGCTTGGTGACATTGGGCTACCACATTCATCAAACGCTTCAGCCATCTTGATTGCTCCTGTGATACCGCTACTGTTGCTTGCTTTGAGCGAGCACGAGATCAGCTCGCTTACTCGCCTGCCTAATACAATAACCACATATACCACTCCAGTTTATTCATAGCAATTCACTTGAGTGAAGCGTAGAGCTCCAGCAACGAGCTGATCAGGGCCACGTTGGAGCCCCGCCCGCTCGGGGCGCCCTCAGAGCCATGGTGAGCACATCCGATAATATACTACACGCTGACTGAATGCCGGCGTCCGCGGTGTGTTGCACCCTCCGCCGCTGGAAACGCACGCCCGCGTGGCATGCGCGCCGCCGCAGTGCGCAACCCCCATCCCCATTGCTTTCCGCAGGGCAACACCCAGGCGAAGCGCAGCATGGACAGCCCGGATACGGACGGGCTGGTGCAGGGGTCGCTGCCCATGAGCCCCGGCTCGCCGCTGACCTACAGCCCCCAAGTGGCGATGGAACCGCTCGCGCGGGACGAAGGCGCCGGCCCCCGGGGGCCGGACTTTGTCGGCGCAGCGGGCTGGCCGGCACAGCCCAAGCTGGTGCCGGTCGTGATCGTGTGTGAGCGGCCGCGGCGCGGGGGCGGGTGCGGGGGGCGGCGCCCGCACTGGTCGCTGCTCGTGGGGACGGGCCGCCGCAAGGCGGGGCCCCGCACGACAGAGCCTATTTGTGTAGCCGTCAGCCCCGCGACACGCACGCCACGCGAGCGCATCACTCGCTGCCGGCTACTTGAGGCTGCGGCAAAGAGTGCAGCAGGACTTGATGTGCGGCGGGCGAACGACGACCAAGCCCCCACTTGCCGACATGCAGGTCACACCACTGCCGCCGCCGCCGCGCTGCTGCTGTCGCCACCGCTGCTGCTATTGCTGCCGCTGCCCCTGCTGCTGCTACCGCCGCTGCTGCGCAGGGAGCCACGGCGGGAACCATGTCGAGGTGGAGGGGTCCTTTGACAACTGGACGACCCGCCAGCCGCTGCAGCACACGGGCAAGGACTGGACGATCATCAAGCTGCTGCCCCCGGGGGTCTACCAGGTGGGGGCAGCTGCCGCGCCTCAAGAGGCAGCGGGGTAAAGTGATGGGGTGTTGCAAGCCGGGGGCCCGCAAGCCGCCCAGCAGCTGCCACTGCGAGGCGAGGTGGGGCCTGGTTGTCCCCTCCTTGCAAGCTTTGGGTAGGGCAGCCTCCGCGGTTCGCGCCCCGCTGCGCCCGCCGGCGCTGCTAACAGCCGCGCCCGCGCCCATATTCACCGCACAAGCACCAGCACGCTGCATGCGCCTTGCTGCTCCACCTCCCTCCTGCACAATCCCTCCCTGCCCTGCGGCCGCTTTCCACCCCCCTCTCCCAAAAACAGTTTAAGTTCATTGTTGACGGGGACTGGCGCTACGACCCTAACCAGCCCGCCATGTATGATGAAATGAACAACGTCAACAACGTGATAGAGGTCCAGGTGGGAGGCTGGTGTGCGCGCGTGTGTGTGTGTGTGTGTGTTTGTGTGTGTGTGCGTGTTTGTGTGTGTGTGTGTGTGTGTTTTTGTGTGTGTGTGTGTGTGTGTGTGTGTGTGTGTGTGTGTGTGTT